TTATCCTGATGTGGTTGGCACTGCACAAAAACACGGACTGAAAACAATAACCTAGGTTTATAGTTAATAATAGTACCTGTATCCCACAGGCCGGAAGTCTGCGTTCATTTTTATCTCGACAGCTCTTGTGTAGCAGCCCTCCTGGCATTTCCCTTCCACCCGCTGAATTTCAATCATGATTCTCTGATTCGGTGGTGCCTGAAAATAGGTTTCACTGGAAGAAGGATCTGAAAGGGTTTAACGGGTTCTGAAGATATCAGGGTTAAAGGCAGTTGGCACGATGGTTTCCTACTTAGCCTAAAATGCTAGTAGGGCGCTGTATAGTGGGGAAATGGCGAAAGAACGGAGTGAAACGGTCAAAATCCGGCGAAGAAAAAGCCTCCGTTCTCAGTGACTTGTAAATCGATTTCGGACGAGTTTCCCGTACGCATCTTGCCAATCACCGCTACCGAAGATACGGCTGCATATGTGTACCCATATATGCATGCAGCATCACCGCCGCTTCATACCAATCCCTTTGCTTCATAATTTGCTCAGCAAATGAATGAATACGAGCGTCAGAAACGGTCGTCCGTTTGTGGGCGGGCGGGCAAGGAAGGCGTTTGGGACGTAAAGTTGTTGCTCAATAGGGCGTTATAGAGGTACCCTCCTTGGAAAAGGCTTCACGCAGCGCCTGTCCGAGGTCACGGAATTCTGTTAAGCCAGTTGTACAAATCCTACACCTGTATAGCGATTTATCGTGCCAACTGCCTTTAAAGACAGCTCTCGAGATCAAGTGATCCGCGAAAGCCTCCGTGCATTCGGCATCTGGTCCGCACTCGCATAGAGAGTAGCGCCTTCATTTCTAGGAATGAGCGAAATAAAGCGCTTACAGAAGGAGTGATCTTTGTGGGCGTTCTTTTATTCGGTCTGCAAGACAACTGCTTGTATGATGAATTACGCGTGTGCACTTTGCTGCCTGCAGTGTCGTAGGACGATCTCATATGCTCGTCGGAAAAATTATAGCTTGTAGACTCTGCTGCTCAGTATCCAGTGAGAGCAGAACTACTCGGGCTGCGTACGACTAGTTCTGCTCTCCCTGGATACTTTCTCGAAAACAAGCGAGCAAAAGCAATATGCTTCGCACGGCAAGATGCGCTTGGCGCTGCTTTGATTCAGGAACCGCAATGGTGTAAAAGCTCGTTGTCATTGCTCATCGTAGTCTGAATTCCACGCGCAAAGTTTCCGAGGGAGGTTTTCTGTTCAATTCTTTTCTGTTCCCGTTTTTTCCTAAGTATTTGATGGCAGTTACTACGGAAAGATGCGAAGAAACGATTAGTAAGCCAAGGGTGGCGCAGAGGTCGCAGCGAAGAAACGATTTGGGAACGAGGGATTGCAGAGAGGCTTCACGATGAGGTTGCCACCAAGTCCGTGAAATTCATGCAATGACGCTGGTAATTGTGAAGTAGGAGGTTTCAGGGTTTAGGGTGTTCTCAAGTTTTTTTACTTATTTCTCCGCTGGGGAATCATTTATCGGCTACTGGTTCATAGATAAACACCCATTGTATGTAATTCTTGATAGTAGGAACTATCATCAAGAGCAGTTTGTGAAGTAAATGTCTAGAAACCATTAAGTACCTGGTACCTTAAAGTAAGGGTGTCATTTTTCGCCCCCCTCCCGACAAGCAGAGATATTCTTCAAGAGCCTTAGTTGTTCTGTATAGCGCTAACAGCTTAAAATTGGGCCAATAAATGTGAGAACTACTATACTAGGTCATACTCGAATATGGTAAACACACTGCCTTCTGACAGGACCGACAGTCATGCGAACTCTGAGTCGCATTAGCGTCGACGTAGCTTCAATCGATCTTCCACAATTCAGCGGAGCCGATGAAGCGACCATATCACAAAGATTCCCTCCAAAACCAGAAGGGCACCTGCAAATAGAATCTGATGAGACTTTACTTGAGGAGGCGTTATAGTCAGTAGATGTGAGCAGACCTACTTGCACACGCTACAGTTAAGCGGATCTGTATAACCACCATTGAGACATCTCGGCGCTGCCACACTCGCCCTATTACATAGTGCTGAAAATGAGAAGAAAAGGAGTTCTGTTAGCGTGACTTTGGTTTTCAGTGCACTGACCAGAACATTGGTAATGCCTGTTAATGATTTCCACGTCAAGGAAGGAATGGTCCTTCCATGTTGCCCATGGTCCCCTGGAGCTCCTCATTCAACGCCAGCAAGCGACGGAAAAGAAGCGTTCCTTGCGAACCTTCAAGAAAAGTCATAAGGTGACGCAATGAGGAATGCAAAAGTCGAATCTACAGCTGTAGTCACCCTTGAAACTCTTCGTTTCTCTATGAACCACTAACTTTGTGCATCGGTTTTTCGGTATGTAGGTATGTCTGTCTGTCCGCTGAAGGTCTCGATGTGTGGTAAAGAGCCTGATTGCAGAAGGAATGGTGTGACTGTGATAAAACCCTCTCCACACATGCGCATTAATGAGGCCGGACGTGGAGGTGAGCAGCGGCGAGGGACTAGCATATACTGGAAGAAGGAACCGTGGCGGACACAGAGGATATTGGAAACTGATAGTCGTAGAAAACTGATAGCAAACGAAATGGTTGACGGCTGGTTCACTGTAAGCCGCTGAGGCAATCGTCAGGCAGGGAATGAAGCTCAGCTTCAACAGATGGAAATATGTTGATGCCATCAAGAGCTTCCCTACCTATCGTGGGAGGATCGATGGGAGCTGCGAATGTTAAGTGCTTAGGGCGGACAAGATGAATTCCACTTAGCTTGGATCGGAAGGTTACCTGTTGCCAGCATGCAGCGCCCTATAGCACTTACTCTCGACTACTCTGCCGCACCTTTCACTTTTATATACTTATCAGCACTCAATGGGTTATTAGGAGAGAGACAGACGGACTCAAAAACGTCGGGTTTCTTTGGCGTTCAGTTTCGAGTCGTTGAGGCGAAATCTTAGTGCTTCGAAAAGAATGGTCAGAGCTAACCATGGGCAGTTTATGCCTTTACTAGATCAGCTGCTGCTCATACAGTGAGCATTATGGCTGTACCTTGAAAGGGATAAAGGCAAAGTCTTCGCCGTTGATCAATCCCTTTGTGGGATGCGGCACGCATTCTACTTCCATTCAGAATCGTAGTGGCTTATTGAATGCGATGTGGCCTATACAATGACTTGCGGTGCCAGCCGATGTACAAGGTCAGTGTTTTATCTTCAGGCGAGTTATTAACCAATTTACCGTCCCCAGAGGATAGAAGGCTTGGTTGGCCTGGGCGGAAGTCGACCCGGGATTGAACCCGGCGCCGCCCGAGTGGTAAGCGCGTCACTTTCACTACACCACACGCCGGCTGTACCTTATGAGAGTGAAACTTGACTTGTGAACGGAATCTGTGCCCGTTTACGCTTAGAATCATGAGCTGCGACCTACCCTATCAGGGTTTTCGATGGATGATCAAGTAGTTAGACCTTCCTTCCCCACTTTCCCGTAAGGGTTTCCCCGTGAGGATACGGTGAAAAGCAGCAAATATCAACTCTTATCAGTCCTTACCGGTCACATCTGGCCGTTGTTATCGATATTACTCTCCTACTATGCTTCACCTGTTATACTGTTACAGCTAGCTTGAAGCGCGTCGCAGAACCATCGATCCTTTCTTTTGCCGCTTGTTGTCACATTATATCCGCCGCTTCACTTGCTGTCACCCACCATCGATGTCCCCCTCGATGTTTTGTTGGATGTTCTCTATATCGTCCCTGGGACCCAAAGCGAAGTCTGTGCTGGGAAACGCGCGCTATGAAGGTCTCTTTCTAAGTAAGTGCCACTATCAGTCCTGCTCATTTGCTATCTTTTCTAACATAACTGTTACTGTCCCTAGATCGCTCCTTAGAGCGGATGTACACACCAACAGACAAACTTAGCGGACTATATATTTAATAGGTAGATCCGTATTCACCCCCCCCCCCTCGCCACCATCGCCTTCTTCGTGTGGAAAAGGGCCTTACTTTGTGCGGCATTTATCGTATAGGGCTCTGATCGATCCGGCCTTGTCCTAATCGCTGTGCTGCAGCAGGGTAAGAAGCCTTTGGGTGTTTTAGGAAATTGGAGCCGCGTAAGAGGCGTATTCATCTGCACGTCTGGTTGGTTCGCGACTTGTTCAGTGTGGGTAACTCAAAAGTTTGAATCATTACAGCGACTTCGGCTGTTTGTACAGGAAGGGGCAACTTCAACACCTGCCCACTGCGCGTATGTCTCTCTTTATGCGGGGACTAATTTCCTATCTAGCCAACTTACTCCGCAATCTCGACCAACTTACTCCGCTCTGCAGCCTTTCTGGAACGACGAATTATTTTTTTAATAAGGCAGCAAGACGCTAACGCGAATCCGGTGATTAATGCGCCGCCCATGAACATGGCTCTTTCATCATCGTAAGCGCTACTTTCCTATTTAAAGGCACATTCCGCGATAAAATAAGGCTATGACCTCTCAAATGTGTCGGACGATCCGGAAGGCGATTTTTGAGGCTGCGCTACTTTCAAAATGTGAAAAACGGCAAGAACTCGCTAGAAGCTGACTAATTAGGCCCATGGACACCCCTTAGGCCCATGCCGACCCTCACCGGCTGCTAGCTACTAGCTAGTAGCCACTATGTTATCTTTCTCTATAACATTTCGGACTGCTTTTTCTGCTGCTTTTCTCCGCTAATCAGATACTTAGCACTTTTTTGTGCCTATTTGAAATTCCGTTTCCGCAATTTGCGGTCGCGAACTGTGCCTTTAACTTGGATTTTTCGGCCCTCACGGCCTTCTGAATTCGAATCTACTAATTTTTAAAATAGGTGGCTTCTGGCTGAGGGACTACCGTTCACGGTGGGCGGGACACCGCTCAATCTGTATGTGTTCCGTACATCTTGGTCCATGCCCTACCCATTCCACCCTATCTGGCTCCACTGGCTTTTCAGGTAATGCCGAATTTCCCGACAGACAGATAGACAGACAGACGAACAGACAGACAGACAGGCAGCACATAGATAGACAGACAGACAGACAGCAGACGAAGTCGTTTATATTTAGAGACCATGATTTCATGTATATGAACTGCATCGTTTTTTTTAAAAAAACATACTCGGTAGGAGCATAGTGCATTACACTTCCAACATCGTAAGGAAGACCATAAGTGTCCAGATACGTCGGGGAGATCTGAGAAAACGATTAAGTAGCTCCTTTCGAGGGTGAAAGAGAAAACTGAAGTTTCATTGAAATCGAATGAATGATTGTCTGTGCTGCTCACCGTCTCAAAGTTCACCCAGTCCTGCTGTCGTACATTGGCTGGCACAAACCTCACGTACGCATCTCTATCGTAGCGTTGCTGATGATGAAAAAGACCCGAGTAAGTGACCCAATCTCACCATGAGAGGTCCACTCCAACTGAAACGACCAATTACTTGTTTTTCAAACATTTTTTCGTTGAAAGTGCTCTCCTGAGTTCTGAATTCCATATGGTCCCCGCCATATTCCCTATACCCGCACGTTCGCAATTTTTCGGGTTTCGCACATTGAAAAGCGATGGTAATTGTGCATCTCTGCCAGTGAACCACCATCCAAGACTAGCCGGGTGGTGCCCGACTGCTATGCAGAAGGAAATGAACAAGTGATAGTTTGGTTGAATAAATAAATGCAGAATCGATGAATGTTTAGGGGTGCCCCATCTATTCTGCTTTCATACAAAGTCTTTGTGACACTATGACTTTTGGCCCATAGAATGAGAAGGGCAGCCGATGTTTGGTTGGTTACCGAAGAAGCTTTTTTTTACTTTTCTGGACAACTACGGCACCAGTTAGCCAGTCGCAAACGCACGAAGGACTCCGAAGACCCGATCGGGAGAGGGTTCATTATTTGCCCTTGCCGGGAACGTGACAAAGTCGCCACTTGCGAGTACATCACAAACACTGCGAGAATATAGGGGAAACTAAAAACGACCTGAGCTAACAGCCAACGAGAATTGCAATCTGATTTCCGAATTAGGCAATCGATAGGCGATGTCAGCTTATTCACTGTTCTGAGCAGGGTACAGCATGGGGATGTGCCATATGCGGTGTGAGTACGAATCCCCCCCCTCTCGAAGAGGTCCAGGCTGCGAACCTCGCCCCCCTTTCCCGCCTCCTCTCTAACTGGGCGAACCGCAGTTATGCATGGTTCGTCAACGAATAAGTTGTCAGCAAGCCCTCAGTACTGTTTCGTGGTAAAATCCTTGCGTTTCAGACCAAGGACCAGGAACCCGGTTAAGTTGTCAGCAAGCCCCAGTACTGTTCGTCAAAATCCTTGCGTTCAGAACCAAGGACCAGGATCTCGCGGGGGACTCTTTCATCTGCCTGAAGGGGAAAACAGCCTTACACTACACACAGGGAAGGTCCCGGTGATTTTTCTGATCCCGCTTCGAAACACAGCCTATATGCTTTACCTAGATTTCCTTTGAATTATTCCTAATTTTTTTTTGCTCTTTACAAATGATATTGTGTTGTTTCCAAATGTTTTTACTCCTTTTTTTTTATCAGCTAACCTGGCTGTTATATGGCACTAACTGTTGTTGGTTTCAACTTTCTCTAACTTGTGGCGCGCCATTGATGTACAGGGTTGGCCATAATTATAGCGACAAGACTTGCTGCAGTTAGCGTACATTCTATCGCGCACATAGCGCGCCAGTTTTATGGATTTTTCAATCTCATCATTTTTTCTAACTCCTGTTAAAATTTGGTTAAATTTGGTCCATTCATAGTGAAATGGTGAAGCCTTCTCCTGATCGTTCCGCTATCGTTCGTCTGCACAAAGCCGGCCGCCCACCCGCCACGATCGCTAAGCACCTCGGCATCCACCGCAGCGTCGTGTATCGCACACTCCAACGTTATCGAGACCTAGGTGGACTCCAAGACCGCCGAAGAAGTGGAAGACCTCGTACTGCTCGCACGCCGAAGGTCGTCGAGGCCGTCAGAAAGCGGATAGCAAGAAACGCGACTCGGAGCATCTCGACGATGGCTCGCGACATGGGAATCTCGCGGAAGTCAATGGAAAGGGTCGTCCACGAAGACCTTAAGATGTACCCCTACCATACTCGGAAGGCTGCTATCCTCAGCGCCTCGAATCAGCAGGCGCGAGTCAAGAAGTGCCGACAGCTTTTGCTTCGGACGCGCAACAAGGGCCACCATTCGATCGTCTTTTCGGATGAGAAGCTCTTCACCGTCGAGCAGCAGTTCAACGCTCAGAACGTCAGAGTGATCGCAAGGAATGCCGAGGAAGCCGACAAGAAGGGAAGAGTCGTTCACCGGGCCGCACACCCTGCCCAAGTCATGGTTTGGGCAGGGGTGTGTGCCTCGGGGAAGACGCCGTTGATATTCGTCGACCCCGGCGTCAAAATCAACAAAGATTACTACCTGAAGACGATTCTGGAAGATGCTCTACTCCCGTGGGCGAATTTCCACTTCAACGGCCGCCCGTGGACATTCCAGCAAGATTCGGCGCCCGCCCACAAGGCCAAGGTCGTCCAAGCGTGGTGCAAGAGCGAACTCCCCGACTTCATCTCGGCAGAAAAGGGGGGTGGCGCATCGTCACCGGATTTGAACCCACTGGACTATAACTTGTGGTCCTACCTTGAGAGCAAGGCCTGCGCCACACCCCACCCCAATTTGGATTCTCTGAAGGCAGCGCTCATCCGAGAATGGGACGAAATCGACGACGCACTCCTGCGTCCGGTCATCGACGCCTTTCCCAAGCGCTCCCGCTGTCATCCGTGCCAAAGGTGGCCGAATCGAGAAGTAACTTATGATTGTTATTGTACCAGTTGTTACTTAATAAATGTTATGTTCATGACTCTTTTGCACTTTTCGCTTTCTGAGATATAAGGTGAAAACCTTGTCGCTATATTTATGGCCAACCCTGTAATACAATAAATAAATGTTCACCACAAATGGCTTCCTGAAATGGAATCTGGATTCTCGAAAGGCGGACTCTGCTCTAAAATCCAGGCAATAAGAGGCTGTTTCAGCCTCATGCAATATGAGGCTGAACAACAGCCTCGCATTACCTACAATTTTGTCTTAGGATTCAAAATAAAACTCCTCGTTCGACAACCATGTATGACATGCAACTTGTAACAAGGAACACAATCAAAACAGCGACTATTGGTGATCACTGATAAGCTAAATTGGTGAAAAAATAGCCCCAAGGTCAGCGTGTCAGGCCCCAGATGTGCATTCAATGAATGGTGACGGGGAAATCATGAAAACATGCACGACACAACAAAGCGAAACATGAAAAATACAAAAAAATGCGGAGCCAAATGAAAAAATGGATAACCAGGCGGCAGTATATCGTTCTATACTTGTGATCACTGGTAGTAAATTGGTGATAAGAATAGCCCCAAGGTCAGGCAGTGTCAGGCCCAGATGTGCATTCAATGAATGGTGACGGGGAAATCATGAAAACATGCACGACACAACAAAGCGAAACATGAAAAATACAAAAAATGCGGAGCCAAATGAAAAAAATGGATAACCAGGCGGCAGTATATCGTTCTCTATACTTGCCTATTATCGATTATCCAAGCGTTGCGACCGCTTTCTTTGAAGAAAAGTCACTTTTTAGCGCGTTGTTGGGGCCTGCCAACATCCTGGGGTCTTTTTGGGGGTTATATCTCTTCAGGGGACGCGGCTTTTGATGAATGGTTAGCAGCATGCAGCGAAGTGTTCCTACTGTTGCGTTTTCTACCCAGTTGCAATCTGAATGTTTCCCCGTTCGTGAATATTCGGATGGGTTTTCGGATAGCTAGGGGTAAATGGCAAGTGGGTTTTTATGCTTCACACGAGGATTACTTATTTCGAACGCAATTTCATCAGGATTAAAATCGTCTTCGAAACCGCCCTATCTTTTCTCTTTCCAATAAGCTTTACAGTTTTTCTGAAGACCCACTAGTTTCAGGATATGGGTCACAGACGCGCTACCCTCTGACCCACCCGCAAAAATCAACTCCTTCTGTGACATTTTGAGGATACTCCTTCGGAAACTTCAGTGTGCCTTCTGAACACATATTTCCCTTCGAATGAGTGAAAGAGGAGCTCGCTATCACTGATCGATTTGGTCCGAGTGTGCGCCGTGCATTACGCTCCTACGCAGAGGTGGTGGAAAGGTGTAAATTCTGATTTCAGGTGCTTTTATCCATGCAAGCAGATGTTTGTTTAGGGTTTGGAAAGGACAATACGCACGAATCTGTTTGAGACGTATTATTTAGTCATCTACGGTACTTACGAGTTCATGCTATTAAATTATATTTATTTATTCTTGCTATTCTTGCTATATTGCTAATCAATTTTTTATTATTTTGTAGTCCTCCTTACATCCGGGTCTTCTGCAGCTTTCCGTCCGTTCCATCAAACTTAGCAATGACACTTTTGTACTGTTTGATGCCTAGCGAGCCTACTTTTGCGATACTCCCCACGTCCCCGCGGCCAAGTACGAACCCATTTTTGGGGATTTCGCATGAAAAGAGGCTGTTTATAGAATCTTTAAAGAATACTGTGTAATAATTTTCTTTCTTTAACTCATGGCTTCCATAGCTCACTCCGAGATTGACTGAAATGTCAAGACTGCCGCGGCTCTGCTCGAGATTACGAGCCCCCCCCCCCCCTCCTCCAGCGGCTAAAAGTACGCGACCACCACTATGGTTTCGCACAACGATGCTGTACCTGTCTGAGCTCGTGTCGAACCCTTGCTGAGGTAAAAGACAACCCTACAGAATAGAAGTATTAGGCTTCTAAGGTTTAATCAATCTCTGTTTTATATCCGTGCGGCGATTCTATTTCCATACAGAACTCAGAGACATTTTAGGATGCAATATAAGTTGCTCAACCAGATCACTAGGCCAGCCGACGTTCAACGCGTGTATCATATCCTGCAGAATAAAATTTAACGCGTCCGGAGGATGCCCTCCTAGTCGTAGCAGGGGGTTGTAGAGATATAGTTGGGAACTAACTGTAAGTGGGCTGGAGCTCCGTCAATATGGCTGGCTTCCTTGCCTGCCGCGTGACCGCGCAGTTAATTGATGGGGCTGCGCTGGCTGACCTCTCACAAGAGGCGCTTTCAAAAGAAAAGAGATAAAGCGAATGCGATTGAGCGAGATTATCAAGCGGGGCCCAGTCAAGAACAAGTGGAGCAGTTCTGTAGGAGGATGGCTAAATATGTCACCAATGAGACTAAATGATTTTTGAGGCGCAAAAGAGCGGTTTTTCTAGTGATTCGTTCTAGTGTGAAGTATTAAAGTTGAGTTTCACAATAATAGAGGTGAGTTTGCACTTAAGCATTATAAATAATAATTGTTAAATCACGATTGGCCCAAACAAGTAATGGCGTTTTTACTCACGTAAATTAATATATGGAAAATGATAATTGTTTTCCAATGAGTTCTACACTTTACGATAGATAGTTTTTCGGCTCTATAAAGTTATCATGGTTGTCTTCTTACCATTTCTCGAACTGTGTCGATTTTAATTTGACTGAAAGGGAAATTCGGGTTGACGACTAGGCACAAGAAGGAGTTTTTCGGGCCATTACTCTTTTGCACTTTCTCTCCGCCTTGAACCACAGAACAAAAGAGCCGATGCTCCTATGGCACACACCGATAAACATAAAAGAGGGATATGGAAACATTACAAATATAGATAATCCTCTCATGTACAAGGGCAATCATCCCTTCTTCTCTCTTAAAATTACAAAACAAAGGATGAATAGAGGAAAAAGAAACAGTAAAAAGAATAAAGTAAAGACATACGATAATATTATAGCAAAGATAACTAGTAATAATGAAACACTCAAACCTATTCAGTACTACAGAATGCTCAAGAGTCTGCGTAAAGAAGAATTGAATAACTAATTGAACTCTCCATGTCTGCAGACTTCTTACAGAGAGTTTAATAATAAGACTAGGTACTTAATTTTTTGCCTGCTAGCTCACTTTCATTTTGCACTACCACAAAAGAAAACCAGAAACACTATCATAGATGCTGGGAGGTCAGTTTCAAAGAGCAGAGTATTTAATGAAATACCCTTCAACAGAATCTTCAATTCACGTACTGTTAGAAATATACTACTCAGCGATAGTGGAACGAGCAGTAAATTCACCCCAATCAGAATTATTTATAAGTACAACAATACGTGCTAGTAAAATTTGCAATTATAACAAAATTTGAAAGATCTCGACAATGAAAAATTGAAGCAAATTCTTAACAACGATTGTATATGTACTACAAATACAGTACAAGAATATGTGGATAAAAATTATGAACACGTTATCACAGGCAATGTAAATCTTATAAAAGAAGAGAGTCTCAGAAGACTGCTGAGTAAAGGGACTAAATATAGATCAGACACAGGCATAACAAGACAAGAAGTTAAAATGGTGTTTGAAGATACACTCATCAAGGTTATAAATTATTTTAAATGTAAATACAAAGCTAGCAGTCACAAGGTTAATCTATTACAGAAACATTTTCTTACATGTTACCATGACAAAGTAAAACCTCTACTGACAAAGGATAATATTGTAAATATAGGAGAACACATGACGCTCAACAGGACTTTAATACACAATATCAAGCAATACTATTTGTCCTCGTTGACAAAAGCAATAAATAGATATAGATATGCATCATCGTGCAAGAAGTTTTTAACACGGCTTTAAACATAATGCATGAAATGTGGCATCATCTTATGATGCTTGCCACAACCACAACATATTGTCTATGGAAAACAGTAAATACACATGAATTAATACCTCATACGAACAAGTATTCTTTAATATTGAAGCACAAATTCCTTTGTGTAAAGAATAATATCAATATATCCATTGATGCAGAAATACCTACTATATATGCCTTACCAAAGCTACATAAGAATCCAGTTAAATTCAGATACATCACAGGTGCACATAGCAGTAGTGTTAAGCCATTGGCCCAGGAATTACGCATAGTCTTCACACATCTCAAAAATCACTTTATTAACTACACCAAAGTAATACAGAATCGCAACAGGACTATCAAGACATACTGGTCTATAAGTAACATTAATATAAGTCACGAACTACATAACATCACGTTCGACAATCTCAGAATTTACACTGCGGATTTCACGGACATGTTCACGAAATTTTTAGAACCATGATCTTATTATTAACAAAGAAAATGCAAGAAGCTTCTTAACATTTGCTTCAAAAATGCCAACAGATCCTTTATTGCCACTAATGGTTACCATGTTTTCTATACAGATGGTAAAGAATTCAAGAACAACTACAGATATTACAAATCCAGCGATTTAGTTTACTTTATTGACTATCTTTTACGTAACAGTTTTTGTCTTTTTGCTAACAATACGTTCAAGCAGACTAAAGTGTCCCACAAGGTGGCAATTTCAGTCCCTACTTGCAGATTTTACGCTTTCTGTCATGGAGTATAACTATGCTAAATCTAAAAAGTTTAATAAAGGTAAGCTATTCATTCATATAGATTATATGGATTGACTATTGCTTGTGTGCATAACACTGATGATGAGGTGGATGAACAACTTTCTCAAGTTTATCAAAATACCCTTCAATTGAAAAAACTCATAATAGTGAAGTTTCTAGCAATTATTTAGATTTAACAATTAATATTACTAACGGTAAAATTAGTACCAAGCTGTATAATAAAAAGGAAGATT